AGTGACTTCCTGTGAGCGTTTTAAGAAGTCAGGGAACATCCCTTTCATTCTGTTCATTTCTAGAATATGAATCAGCATCACTGACTCATTTCCTGATTCATGATTTCATAAACCATTTTTTTCCCTTTATTACTCTTAGTTCCTTTTTTAGGGAACCAGCAGTTACCAAGGGCTTTAGGACTTTGCCATGTCCTCATGGTGTTTGCCCTTGTGTTTCTGTGTACATTTGAAATTTAAACTTTTTTTTTTCCCGTCCCAAATCCATCAGTCTGGGACTTACATCAAGGATGCTGGGCTGGGCTCAACACTTAAGAATGTTCTGAGCTTTAAAGGTAAATGATYGTGGCATGCACTTTTGAAGTCTGGCCAAGTGTTGAGGTGCTTTAATTCATCACGGGGTCYTATCCTTGGGATGCAGGATGAGAAATAATGCAGAGCTGCTGTCTTTATAGGGTGATAAAAATCAGGCTCCTGTAGTGTTCCAGGAGTCAGGAAATCRATGCCAGGCAGGCTGAAGGAAGGCCATGAGCTAATCCATTGCTGCCAYGGGGTGTGGAACAAAGTGCCTTGATGCTTTTGGTGCCACTGTGTGCCCATTCTGCATCCCAAATCCCAAAAATGCCCCCTTCTCTGGATGCAGGGGGCAGTCAGGGATCCCTGGATCCGTACCCAACCTGAGAGGAATTTTCACCCTCCATTCTTTCAGRGCTGCTGTTCTGATTCCCTGCACTGCTCAGGACTGGGTTTGCAGAGYACAATCCCTGTAAGCAAAATTATTAAATGATTATGCAGGTTTAAGCAGCACAGTGGGAGGAGGAGAGCTGATGACATAAATTCTATGCAGCCTTCAAGAAACATCCGAAGATTAATAAACACAAAGCCGGGATTTATGACAGTGTCAGCAAAGTCTTAGGGCTCTGTCCTGAAATAGAGACAGAAGCAAATCTGCCATTGAAGCAGGGGAGCTTTGTGGCTCTGAGGATTGGGGAATCAGGCCAGTAGATTATGCACCAAACAATCCCAAAGGAATGGGGCTTATTCTGCAGGCCAGGACCAGGTGAATGACTGTGCTGGGAACAATCTAAAGAATATTCCTGTGTATTTATTCTCTAGATATATGTGGAGTTGGAATGGAAATATTGTCTGTATGGAAAATTGCTCATTGACAGAAATGGTCTCATATTCATGGTTTTCACAAGTTAATTGGTTGGGTGTCTGTCTGTCTGTCTGTCTGGCAGACTCTCAGAGCAAAGTGATCCCAACTTTCACCAGGCAAAAACTCATTTCAGCCCCTAAAGATTCCAGTGATCTGCGTGGTGGGGATTCTGCAGTGTCTGCTCAGGTGCAAATAACCCAACCAAACCAGGGCGAGTCAGACATCAGAGTGAGATTCCAGGGGAGCAGCCTGAATTTTGTCTGTAAATGATCAGTGCATGAAAACAAAGATTTTTTTTTTGAGGTAGCACAATGATTTTCAATAACCATTTGAGCGTTGTTAGAGGACGTGATTTTCAGAAATGGGTGAGCACGTGTTTTCTGAAATTTAAAGGTGCTTTGAAGTGTTTCAAAGAGAAAGCCAAAAGTGAAGGATCCCAGGGAAGCTGCACCATTAGGCACATTCAGTAACAGAATGAGTGCCCAGGTTGGATTCATTTGCATGCAGTAAAAGCCTCCGTGCACCCTGAAGAACACAAGCTGCATTGCTGTGACACAAGATTAAACTTTATTATTGTCTTGCTTTTAATTGCTAACAAGCGTAAAAATTACCCTGGCCGTTTGCTAAAGAAGCAACTGATTGGTTTCCTCTGCTCACACAATCTGCTAATTGAATTTGAGAGACAGAAATCAGGGAGGGAAGGTRTGGAGTCATGCATGGACCTGCTTGCTGTATTAGCTATTGTTAAACACGTGTTTTGTGTAATAAGAGGAGACTTTGTATTTTAAGCAGTTTAGAAATAATGCATTTTTCTTTTCATTTAAATATACAACGGTAAATGATCTCAGTCCCTGGTAATGCTTCCTGACATGCAATTTATTACGGTGCTGAAGTAGATTCTGCCGARCCCAGGGGATACAGCTCCTTTAAGCACCTTTGTGGAAACAAATCTCATTATCAAGGAGTGTTTTACACTAGTATTTCCCTTCACATCCTGGCAAGATATTAATTTCACTGCTCTCCCTATTTATTTCTTTTCTGCTTGCTGATGGTKTATGGATCTGATGAGGAGGAGGGAACGGACCAGAACAGAGCACATTTCCCTCCATGATCATTCTGAGTGTGTGTATATTTGGTTTTATGTTCCAGGAAGCAGCCATCAGCTGCTGGATCCAGTTCAGTGACGGATCTGTCATGCCYCTGGATATTTATGACCCCAAAGATTTCTCCCTGTCAGCCACATCCCTGGATGAGAAGGTGGTGTCCATCCACCACGACCCCAAATTCAAGTGGCCGGTGATCGCTGCAGAGACGGAGGGCCAGGGGACACTGGTGAAGGTGGAGATGGTGATCAGCGAATCCTGCCAGAAATCCAAACGGAAGAGCATCCTGGCTGTGGGCAGTGGCAGCATTAAAGTCAAGTTTGGGCAGGGGGATGGCAGCCCCAACATCAGTGACAGCAGGCACAGGGGAGCGGGCGTGCAGCTGGACAGGCAGGGCGGTGACCGGCGCCACAGGGGCGGCTGGCAGGACAGGGACAGGGACAGGGACAGGGACAGAGCCCGGGGGGACGGCCACTACTACAGCTCCTCCATGGGCCACGAGCAGGGCCACAGRACCACCACCCACMGGTCCATCCTGAGCAGGAAGGAGGACAGAGAGAGCCTGCTGGATGATGACAGCCAGAACCTGCCCATGGACTTCACCAGCTTCCCGGTGCAGGTGGATCTGCCCAGGGACACCACGGGCTCCGAGGACAATGAGCTGCTGCAATCCCCCCGTGGCCTCAGCGACCTGGAGATCGGCATGTACGCCCTGCTGGGAGTGTTCTGCCTGGCCATCCTGGTGTTCCTCATCAACTGCGTCACCTTTGCCTTGAAATACAGGAACAAGCAGGTTCCCTTCGAGGAGCAGGAGGGCATGAGCCACTCCCACGATTGGGTTGGGCTGAGCAACAGGACAGAGCTGCTGGAGAACCACATCAACTTGTCAGCGCAGCAGGACGAGCGCRTCACAGCCATCGACAGGGACTACGAGGAGAGCAAGTACCTCCTCGACACAAACGCCACCAAAACCATCAATGGACAATCTTTCAGGGCCRCCGAGGCCGCGTTCAGCGAAGGGAAAGAGCAGAAAAGCGAACCGAGCGCTTCTCCTACCTCCAAGAGGAAACGGGTTAAATTCACCACCTTCACCACCATCTCCTCTGATGATGGGTGCCCGACTGTCAACTCCATCCTGATGAGCAATGAGGATGACATCAAATGGGTCTGCCAGGATATGGACCTGGGGGAGTGCAAAGAACTCAAAAACTATATGGAGAGATTACACGAAAATGCATAACGAGACACAAAAGAACCTTTTTTTGTTTGGTTTGTTCGTTTGTTTGTTTTTCACTCACCTTCTGCCTTTAATTTTGGGTAGTGGGGCAAAATGTTGTATTCCAATGAGAATCAGCTGGTGGATAATAACCCAGTGGAGCCCCAAGAAGCCACCCAAAAGCAGCTGGGAGAGCAGAGATCCTGGACAGCTCTGAAAATTCAAGTCTTTCTGTGCTCAGAGATGGAAGTGAGAGATGTGTGTGGTTTTTTGATACAAGGTAACATGAAAAAAAAAMACCTTAGAAAAATAATACGGTCTCATTCTCTGAGCTTTCCCAGGAAATCAATAAATATAACAAACTCCAGTGCAGTTTGGATATTACAGAGTTCACACAGCTCTACTGTTCAATATTGCAAGCTTTGGTTAAAAGCAAAAAATTGGTCCCAGAATAAATAGATCCATGAAAAGAGCATGTCGTTCGAGGCACGTGCAGAGAATATCCATCCAGGAACATTAATTTACCACTGACAAAAACCAACAGTGTGAGCAAAGCAGCTCCCAGAGCTGAGGAGTCGTGAGTTTCCAAAGAATCTGGAGGGGATAAAGGATCACTGGGCTGTTTACAAACCAGCATGTTTGCCTCCCAAGCACTGAGAATGGATACACGTATACAGTTCAAACTGAAACTCTCTTTTTAAGTAGATGCCAAGGTTATAAACTTTGCCAGCCAATTTTCGGTATTTCTTAATTTGTAAAATAGGAGAAGATATAATCTATACTCAGAATATCACTCATATTAAGGAAGGTCTGTTTTGGAAAGTTTGAGAGAATGAGCTATTTTTAAAAGCCCACTTTATTTGATTGTCCTGTTTGGAATTTGTATTCCCAGCCCTTTCCCCGGAGCGCTCCCCATCCGGAATCCTGAGGGTTCTTCCCAATCAGTCAGCCTTGGATGGTGTGGTACCTTCCCTTCCCTTCCCTTCCCTTCCCTTCCCTTCCCTTCCCTTCCCTTCCCTTCCCTTCCCTTCCCTCCCCCACCCCTCCCGGTGTCACACTGTCACACTTTCCATGTGTCATTTACCAAAGTTGGCCACTGGCCCTGGGCTTGGGGCCACTCGTGCTGAGCTGGACAGCACAGCAGCTCCTGTGTGCATCCCCTCCCTGTGGGATTTGGGGCTGTTGAGTTCCCTGTTCAATTCCCTGTGGGATTTGGGGCTGTTCAGTTCAGGGTTTTGGGGCTGTTCAGTTCCCCCTGTGGGATTTGGGGCTGTTCAGTTCCTTCTTCAATTCCCCTGTGGGATTTGGGGCTTTTTGGTTCCCCCTGTGAGCTGGGGCTGTTCAGTTCCCTGTTCAGTTCAGGATTTTGGGGCTGTTCAGTTCAGAGTTTTGGGGCTGTTCAGAGTTTTGGGGCTGTTCAGTTCCCTGTTCAGCTCCCCTGGGATTGGGGCTGTTGAATTCCCCCCACCCAGCAGGTTTGGAGGGCCCAGGGCAGAGCTGCACATCCCACACCGAGCCCTGCACAGCTCCACTCAGTAGATAACACTGGTTTATAATAATAAAATATTACTATCTTTTGTTTCCTTCTGAYAAGGATGTACACAGTAGGATTGCAGTGATACCCTCCAGCCCACAAACCCACAAACYRTGGATTTTTGGTGAGGTCCAGCAGMGTTCTCCAATGGCCAGTGGCAAAGTGCCAAAGCACTGAGGAAAATCCAGCTTACATTTCAAGTTTTCCTTTCTTTTCTGGAGTAGGTCCTTGCCCTGTTTTTGTTGTCTTCCACCATTGGAATTTGGCTCAGTTTAACACACACCCTCTCTCCCACAAACACTTAGATTGAATCCCTCTATATTTAGAATGTACTGTAGATTGTAAGAATGTAATATATATATTTATAAACATGCCAACTGTGAATAAAATTTGCATTTTAGTGGCCTCATCTTTTTTTCCTACTCGGCACTGTCAGGGGGTTCAGCCAGGGCGAGCCTGGCAGCAGAACAGAGCTGTGTCCTTTGAGGAACCCGAGKGCTCATGGCACAATCTCCTCACAGAGTGTGACAAAGTGTGACATTGTGCAGTGTGGGGACAGCAGACAGCACCAACAATGCCTTACACAGACTGATAGAGGCATGGTTAAAAAAAAAAAGAAAATTTATCTGGTACAGTTTGCTTCTTTTTAGAGACTTTATGCACCAATACAATCAGGAGAAGCATCTCCATGGTCCTATAAATGAGGTAAGCTGTTCTTTACTGCCTTCCTTCCTTTTGAAAGCTTCCCCTGTCTTAAATATCCAGAGGTTTATACCCACTGCATTAATACACCAGTGAATTCGCAGTCTCAGCAATGCAGCTGAATAATTGGCCTGTAGGGACGAGGAGAGGGGTCCTGCAGGGCAGGGACAGTGCCAGCCTGAGCTCCTGGCAGTGGGAACAGCACCAAACGTTCCTCAGTGCTGTGTCTGCCTGCAGACAGAGCCATCATCTGAGAACAGAGAGCTCCAAACCGAGCTGGGATATCCCTGCAGCCTGAGCCATCATCTGAGGATGAGAGAGCTCCAAACTGAGCTGGGATATCCCTGCAGCCTGAGCCATTCCCTGAGGATGAAAGAGCACCAAACTGAGTTATCACCTGCAGCCTGAGCCATTCAGAGAGCTCCAAACCGAACTGGGATATCCCTGCAGCCTGAGCCATCCCTGAGAACAGAGAGTTCCAAACTGAGCTGGGATATCCCTGCAGCCTGAACCATCATGTGAGAACAGAGAGCTCCAAACTGAGCTGGGATATCCCTGCAGAGTGTTGAGGGCACAGAATTTATGCTCTGTTTCCAATTCCTGGGTGTTTGCAGACTCCCAGGTGGGCCCTGCTCATGGTGCCATGTGCTCAGACACCTTCCAGCACCATCATCTTCCTCAYGCACAAATATCAGCCCTTCCCTGTGCAATCAGCGCTGTGCTG